CATCTTGGTTTCCAGTTTTTTGACACTATAAATGGTGCTTCTATAAGTATCTTTGGCTACATGGGGCCTTTCTTTTTTGTCACTGACCTTCGGGGGGATATGCCCAGCAGAAGACTCTCTGGGCATTTTAGTCTCTTTTTTAGCATCACCTTTTGTGACATTCAATGTCCCACCCAAAGTGGCAGCACAGATGACCACTGAACTCAGTTAAGCAAGTGCACTTGATTGTCTCCTACAGGTCATACACAAGCAGCATTGTACAGGTCACTGTCACAGTGACACTGCCATGCAGTGCCTGTGCGAGAGGTGGTACAGGTCTGTTACCTCCATGTGAGAGAGGACACCGTGAGATTCAGCTGCCTAGAGGAGAGTCAGCCTTTCTCCTGTGACCGCTCACTTGTGTTTTTAGGGTGAAGCTGCTGCAGCAGCCTCAGAGCGGGGAGCCGGCTTCTCCTCGGATGAGGAAGGGACCAGCTCACAAGCAGCAGCCCAAGATCTGGCTGCCTCCTGGCCCCAGAACCGAGAAACTGAAGAGCAGCAGAAACGGAAAGGAACTAGGAAGAGCAAAAGGCAAAAGAGGGAGGAAGCCAAGCACCTGTTCCCCTTTGAAAAGTTGTAATTTTGAGAAAGTGGCACTCAGATGTTCTCCCAGCACCGTGGCCATACGCTCCCCTGACTGCCGAAAGACAGCTGGGCAGGGCTCAGTAGACTTAGGATGAGGAAGGGAAGAGGAGGTGGCTCCAAATCCCCAGGGTGGCTCAGGTGTGCTGCGGGACCACTCCTCACATAAGACATTAGCTTTCACTCAACCCCTTGGCCCTTTGTCATCTTTTAAGTGGAGTATTTTTCTACTTAGGAATCTTGCCTTTCAAGTGGTATCTTTCAACAATTTGACATATATTGAGTAAATGGATTTCTTTAGAAGCCCTTAGGAACTTTGGGCAAATGCTGGATAATTTTCTTTGTGAGAAGTGCCAGATTTTAATAGATTGTGCATGTGTTCTGCAAATGCAAAAGGCTTCTGCCATCAGTTTAAACACAACTTCCATTTAACAGATAGCCGTCTTCTTGCCTCACTGACTTGTCATCTGCAGAGGTTTAATGCAAATACCTCTTCACTGGCCTTAACTGCATTTTCCCCTGAATTTTCATTGAAACAGAAGAATTACAGTTTAGTTCCTACAATATTATGACCTTTGGATTCACTTTAGGATGTAAGTACCTATGAAAAGAGCTAAAATCAGAGGGAAACAAATTCTACAAACGTTGAATACTGAAGAAACAGCAACAGTCTTCGCTGAGCCCCCAACTACTGTCCTAGTTAAATAGAAAATGCTTTATGTTGTAGATAGTCAAGGAGGATAATTTTTAAAAATCACTAGGGGGAACAATAAAGTTTATAGAAAGACTGATTTCATTGTTTTCTTTCATAGAAACATGTTACAGTAAAAGATCTGAAATTATCTGGTCCAACTCTAGGGGTGGGGAACCTGTAGCCTCTAGGTCCTCAGGTGTGGCCCTTTGATTGAGTCCAAAGGGTTCCCCACCCCTTTCCTGCTCAGTTTTACAAATGAGGAAACTAAGTCCCAGAAAGGGAAATTGATTTGCTCTGGGTTACCCACACCACAAGGGGCAGAGCTGGTCTGAGAACTAGTCCTGTCCTCTAACCCAATGGAGTCAAAGTCAGATAGAAATGGGGCCCACTAAATCCTACAGAAGGATTCCTGAGAGCCAGATTGACTCAAATTCATGTATTAACATCTGTGTTCTATTATATTTTGGTTAAATACTTCCCAATTAAATCTTGATCTGGTTCTGGGGTACTGAGGAGTGTTGGTATCTGATACCTCTGCTCTAACCTATCACCTGCCATCTCTAGCTCCTCAGCCCCTGAGCACTCTTTTTCCTCACATGCAAATACCTCAAGTTGATTGGTGATCCAGAAACATCATTCAACATTCATTAGAGATACTTTTGCTTTGTTTTGTTTTGTTTTCCTTCGTGAGTATATACATCAAGTACATTCACACAGTTGGTCATTCATTAAGCCTTTCTGAACAGAAAGCAGGGTAGTGGGCCTTGGAGAACGAAAGGCATGACAGACCCAATCAACCAGTGACAAGTAAAACATACTTTTGTTTATGTTGAACCTTTCATTTTTTTTTTTTTTCTGTAGGACAATAACTCATCTTTACACAGCAACATATTTTTAACTTGCCTATTAAGTATGGCCCTATGACAGGCTCCGTTAGGAATTTGAGTGAGCAAACTTTGGCAAAACAAAACGTAGGGTGTGACTCGTGTGTGACAAAACCTTCTCCAGTATAAACATGTTGAAACAACTGATGTTCCCATAGAAACCCCACTGCTGCAAAGGCAGCCCCAGTTTCTATAGAAGCCATCTTACCTCAACTTTGATTTTTAAGTTGTACAAGAGGAATGCCTGGCCAGTCATGAAAGTACATAAAAGTTTGGGGCAAGGTGGGGAACTCGCTGAGGACCCAATACAAATCACCTGATTTCATTGAACCTAGTGAGGAAATTCTGTCTGCTATGCTTAGAGAGCTGTCTAAGGGGTAGTGAGAGGATAAGTGCTTTGCCCAGGACCACCCAGCCAGCCCCATCTTCCTTAACTACCTGCTATGCCACGCTGCCTCAGTTTCTTTCATGACTGAGCACAGGTTTCAGAAGGCAAGGCCTGTCAGAAAGTTATTCCCTGTGAGTCTTCTGATTGGACTTGAATCCAGCGTCGGGTTCAAAGCCTCCTCTGCTGGTTACACTAAGTAAATGTTGGCTGAAAGGCTTCAAAATATCTTAACCACTAAAAATCTGAAGTGTCAAAGCTGTTTCCATAGTCTAATTCTAATAAAGTGTGCCGAGAAAGTAACAAGGTGCTCAATGCCCCAGTTTATTAAGGTAGAAATTGCAAACAGAACAGAGAAAAGCAACAACTGTTGATGTCTTGGGTACCAAAACACACTGCAGACATTTATCTTGATCAAAATACAGTCAGAATGAAATTCACGGGGAAGTATTCCAAAAGACTTCAAAACTTTCACTATTAAGAAACTGCCAGGCATTAAAATCCACACAAGAAAAAAGCTCAACGATCCCATCCATCAGTGCCTTCCAAGTGTTTCTAGATGGAATCTGGTTACATTGTCTATGTTACAAAAGAAAAAAAACATAGAACCTTTCATAAGGTTGGAATTTAAAGGACTGAAAAAATACTATTTGTAAATTGCTTATTCAACTAGCAGTGTTGTTTTTGTCCCTAAACAATAAAGGGACCCTATTTTGGGAGGAGCCTCAACTTCCTACAGAGATACACCTCCAAGATAACAAAGGGAGAATCTGAATTAATGGAATCACTGGTTTCAGAAATTCTGACCCAAATCTCAACTCCTACCACATATTTCTCTGCTAAGGCAACCACTGCATGTGATAATTCTGATGCACAAAGAATCTAGAAGGTTGAAACACCCATCTTTAAAACTATGTATGAGTGGTTGGGAAATTTAAGATGAGGTGAGTTGAATGGAAGAATGGGGGTGGATTACTGTAGAACCAGTTAAGTTGTGGAAAAATGTAACAGACAAACAAGGAGCAGATCTCTAGTTAGCAAGTACCTTTGTCAACTCTACAATTATTACAATGGTAAAACACAAACTTCACTGTTCTAAGTCAAGTCTATCACCTACCTCCAAACCACGGTTAGGCCTGCCTGACTTGTACAGGATGATACACAGCTCTGCTAAAAGGCACTTTCCAACAGTTATCAATAGCTGAGCTGGCAGGCACCTTTGTAACCACCAAGTTCTAATACTGTAACAATATGGTTGTGTCTTTGGTACTGCTTCTAACTCTTGGTGCCATCAGTTTTTAAAAAGCTCTATAAAGTTGTTTGGTTTGGTTTGGTTTGGCTAGGCAATGGGATTAAGTGATTTGCCCAGGGTCACACAGCTAGTATTATGTGTCTGAGGCCAGATCTGAACTCAGGTCCTCCTGACTCCAGGGCTGGTGCTCTATCCACTGCGCCACCTAGCTGCCCCTATAAAGCTTTAAAGTGAGTATTTCCAACAGGTTTCTTAAAGTTCATCAGCTGAGTTCAAAAGGGAAGGCTACCTCCTGCTTAGAAGCTACCACCAATTGCCACTCTTCCTCTTCCCAGAAGAAAAACAAATTGCTTGGGTAATGTTTCAAAATAATTTGAAATTTTTCCTGTGGTACACGCAGAAATGGAAAATAGAAAAGCCTTTTATAACATTTGTACAAAAAAAAAAAGCCCAGTTGAACATCTCTGTATGTACAGCAGACAGAGAAATGTGTTCTCTAACAACTGGAAACACTGACTGACAGATGCTAAACATTCCTAGATTCTTTTTACTTTCTTTGCAAGTAATTTTTTTTTGGCCGAGGGGAAGCAATCAGGGTCAAATGACTTGCCCAGGGTTGCACAGCTAAGTTCAAGTAACTTTCTCTGAGAAGGAATGCTTAGCCCTAATGGATATAAATGAAAATACTAACTAAAGGTTGCTAATACAAGAATATCAGAATCAAGAGGACAGTCAAGGTAGCTTTTCCCCACCCTGCATATCTTAGAACAAGGGCTGCTAAAGTAATAATACTAAGCACCTTTTACCAGTGGATTTCTGTGGACTTCATGGTGTTTTTACCTCTGCACTGCAGCTGCATCAGCTGCAGCATTGGAGCTAAAAAGTCTCCCCTGGAAGATCAGAGGTAGAATCCAGATTATGTGCTGCAGTGACCCCTTCCCCAAAGATAAAACTCTTTCAACAAAGGAAGCTCCAAAAAGCCAGTGGTGCCAGCTGGAAGCACCACTTCCACCAACCCAAGGTGCTTGCTAGAGAGAAAGAGAGGACTCTCCCTAGTTTGCCTAAATACCAGAGAGATGTTGAAGTCCCTAAGTCAGGAGTTGGAGGATGGGGGCGAAGAGTGAAGTTTCAAACAGGTCCTGTTTGGCTGTTCTGCCAGGTGGAGCTGGTGACTTAACAGGTATGAGGATGTGCTGATAGCTTCAATTGTGAGGGAGGCAATGAGTCTCCAAACTCTCCTCTGACATTCTGAGGTGAAAGCAGACAGTCCAGAGCCCAGTGTGTTCTTCACTCCTGCTTTTTTGCTGGTGCCCGGGTTCGAGCAATAAGGATAGGAACTATGGCCAGCAAGCCAATGGCCAGTGCCCAGAGGGGACGGTAAAAGAGCCAGCCAGCAGAAATTGTCAGCAGGGTCAGGGACGTAGCAACGCAAAAGGCAAAAGCTTTCAGGCCGATGTTGACCAGGTCTCTGAAAAGCGGAAACCAGTCCACTGTGGGGAGACAAAGACAAGCAGCTGGTTATCCAGACTCAGAGGTAAGTGAGTCAGCTTCCTGCTAGGCCCTGTGCTTCAACACCTGAGGTTCAGCCTGGGTATGAACAGTTCTGTGGGCACAGATCTGGCTACCTGCGCATCGGAGCCAGCCGCGGAAGCATTTTCTTTGTATCCGCAGGGTTAAGAAATGCTAACTGTCCAAGCATCCTTCCTGAAGCATGGGCTGCTGGGAGGAGGGCACAGCAAAGTGCAGAACATCCTCTGCGTGCCAGGGGTGGAAGTTTTGGTGAGGACCTGGCAAATCGGACTCCTCTGGGTCAGTCTTGGATCTGCTGTAAGAAAAGCTAGGAAGCCTGGACTGAAGCAGTGACTGGTCAGATTCTCACAGCCGTGACAAGCAGCTGCCGCACTGTGACATGTCTCATCTCCCTGCTGGAGAGTCTAACCTCCTTGAGGACACAGACTGGGTCTTAACACTACTCTGTATCACTCACAGCACCAATCTCCTCAACTGAGTTCAATGCAATGTCTGACTGGCCCTCAATCCAAAATCATCTTCCAAACTTTATGGGGATTCTAGAATTCCAGGGCCCACCAGCCCAGAACACAGAAAGGATCAACCTTTGGGAGGTACGGTCCCTCACCCTCCTAGGCTTTTACACCCTGCTTTGATCTCCTTAGTCACTGTGCCAGTTTATTTTTTTGTAAGTTGGAGGTTGCATGGGATGACGTCTAAGTTCTACAGCCCTATGAACAGATCTGCTGTCCTCAGAGGGTACACACCTACCTAAGGTATAGACAATCCGGGTCATCAGATTGATGCCTACAAACATGGCCATCCAGCCGGCACCTCGAAAGCCCCATGTTTTCATTGTGTTGCTTTGATGTTCTCTCTGGAACACCTCCTGGAAAGAAAACGTCAATTAATCCTCTGGGAAAGGAAGGCTGAGAGGACTCATTTTCTCATTCTATAGGTAATAAGAAAAACTCACATTTCTATGGCACTTTATGAAATGAGACTCTCACAACTGCCCCATGAGGGAAATCAACACCAATAGTACTATCCCCATTTCACAGTTTAGTGTCTGAGTCACAGAGCTACTAGGTAACTGTCCCAGTATCACAAAGCTAGTAAATGTGGCAGATGGAACTCAAGCTCGGGTCTTCTCTAAGATCAGTCTCCTTTTTCCACCAGACCACAATGCACAGATAAGGAAAACACCAAACTGCAAAATACCGGAACAACAGTCTATCCTGAGACACTTGAATAAAGCCAGTCCAAGCCCAGTGAAAGGTCACTGATTACTCCACATGGCCATTTCTTGCTATCTGGGGTGACACACTTGAAGCACTGGTGATCAAGTGGTGGCACAGGCAAGAAAAAGAGTCAAGAAGGGTCTGGAGCACTGGACTGATAAATAAAACGGATGCAAGCGGGCCAAGGCTGAACATAAACATCTATCTAAACCACGGCAGGAAAGAAAGGCCAGGACCTGCCTCAGGGCTCCTGTTAGGCAGGTCCCGAGCCCTGGAGGAAACTAGCATGTGATTCTGAAGGCCTTCTGCCCCCTCAGGACTCCCACCCAGAGCCGGGGGCCCCAGGGCCTAGGAGACTTCCCAAACTCCTGGATCAAAAGATGCCCCAAACCCAGGGCAAGGAAGCATACATCAAGTGGAGGCTGGGAAGAAAGGAAACCTCTGCCATAAATAGCTTCCCTTAAACACCAGCCACGCTTTGTCATGATCTGTTACTTGAACGTTTTTCACTCAGGCCAAATCCCACATTTATATCCTCCCAGGTGAGGTTTTCTGAATACATAATCTCTTTGGAGTATGAGAACTACTCAGGAAAGCTGGACCATCCAGGAATTCAGACTCCCATCAGCCACACAACTGCTCTAAGCCTTTCCTCACTGCTCAGAACTGTCCCCTCCTCTACCCCAACCTCCCACCCCCAAAGTTCAGGCTGCAAACAAGCTGCAAGAGGGAATGTCCTTGAGAACCAGGCTCCTCTCACAGTGGAAGGTGTGCACTGGCCACTGCCTGTGTGGCGACTGGCTGGGCTAACCATGAAGGAGGGAGAAGGCGACGAATACCCTTCCTCTGTACTGGATTGGTGGGTGAGCAAAGAGCAGGAGAAAGCATAGTTGCACTGGGTAGGACAAAAGGAAAAGCCTATTTGGCTTCCTACTGAAAGCCATGGACCTTGGCAGAGTCCGTGCCAGTGGAAAGCATGACTCATGCTGGAGCAGGCACTGGGGGGGGGGGGGGAGGCGGAGCTTCCTGAAGGCTCCGCCCAAGCAATGTTAGTAACAAACACAGCCGTCTGAGCCTGACGCTCTCCTGACTCATCCAGGACTGCCCACCACCCCAGGGCTTCCCCACCCAGGTGAAAGGAAAAGGGCTTCTCTTTCCCAAGACCTGCCATTTCAGTAACATCCAACAGCCTTGCTAGGGGCAGAGCAGCAAGCATGCTGAAGGGCTGATTATGAGGATCCTTCACATCTGGGCCACTCCTCGCACTTTTCATAGCATGAAATATCATTGTGTCCTCATAACGCACCCATGTGGTCAATGAGAACAGGCATCATCACTCCACAGATGGCACAGGGAGATGAAAGTTTACAAGGTTCGTGGATCAGAGACCACCTGGTCCAAGCCACATTTTACAGATGATGATATCAAGGCCCAGAAGCGGAGGAACTCTCTTAATGTCACCCAGAGAGTAAAGCAGCACCTGAACCCAGGTTCTCACATTCCACTTTAGTGCTGTGCCCATCATACCCCTCTGCTTCGTTGACTCCAGAGGTCCAGGGCACAGGTCAAGTGTCAGACGTGGGAGCCTAACTCCAAGCCCACGGCTTTGTAGCCTCACCTTTCTGGACCCGGCAGAAGGCACTCACCTCCGCAGTGAAATCTCCATGGTGCAGAAGAAGCAGGGTATCCCCAGACTTGGTGGTGTACGGGACCAACTGGTCTCCACGCTGGCGAGCAATCACAGTGACCTGAAGAGAAGCAGGCAGGCAAGAGAGGGAAAGATGGGGCTCAGCTCTTTTCACCCGGAGCTTTGCTTTGTCCACTTATACCTAACTACCTCCAAGAAGGGAGAACAGCCTGCCATCAACCATTAACAAGCAATTCTCAAGTGCCTACTACAGGCCAAGCGCTGGAGATACGAAGACAAAAATGAAACAATCTCTGTCCTCACAGGGGCGACAAGCGGTACACATAAACATATACAAAATAATTTGTTAATTTGGAGGCAAGGCACCAGCACTTGGGAGCATCAGAGAGGCAGAGGTGAGGACTGAGCATGGTCCAGGCATGCATCCCAGCCAGCCCTGGCTAGCAAAGGGGACAGACGTATAACAAAGCTGGATCTCATCTGACACTAACAGGGAGCTACCAGATTTGTGGAGGAGGGGACTCACTCAGACCCCTGCCTTAGGGAAATAGCTGTGAGAAGGAGAGCTGGGAGAGGAAAGAGACCTGAGGCAAGGAAGCCATCTAAAAAGCCAAGGAGCATTTGCTTCTCTGGAGCTAAGTTAAAGAAGAAAACCAAGTTACCACGTGAGCTGGGCCCAGGTTGGGGTCATCACCACTCAGGCCTGCATAGGAAAAGGCAACCCGTACGTCTCCAACCTAGGAATAAAGAAGAAAGACGGACTGTTTAGTCAGTGGAAAATCACCTGGGCTCGGGAGGATGGTGGTAGCTTCTGGCTGGTTTGGGGATTGTGCCCAGGTTTGGGCAGAGAGGAAGCCAGGCAGGGAAAGCCAACAGGCTCAGGTACCTAAGGGAGGTGGCAGCATGGAACACTGCCTGCTGTACACCCACTGTACCCCTTCATCTTTACAAGACGTCTACTCTACAAGCAGACGTTTAACCTCCAGTGCTACAGAGGCAGCGGCTCTTAGTCCCCAGTTTGGGGCAGGTTTGCACACCAAAGCCTTGGGCTTACCTCTGGATACTTGGGGTTCTCGCTGTGATAGAAATAATCTCCTCGTCGGAGGATGTCCACGTGGGGGTCCTCCATGTGGGCCAGGCTCAGTGGTTTGAAGTTGTCAATTTTGTCAATAAGACCTGAACAAAATGAAGCAGTTTGTTATGTCAAAGGATTTAAAAGGAAAACAGCACTTAGAACGTGTACCAGAAACCCTGCAGTCAAGCCATGAAGGGTTCCCATGGTTAGGGGCAGGCTCTAAGGCAGGGGTACACAGCCTGCTGTGGGAACCGAGCCATGCTAAACCACTGTTTTTTATGATGACAAGGAGGTTATGAATCACGGGGGGGGAGGGGGGCCCACCATGTAACTGTTCTGGGGGGATCAAGGCAGGAAAAGGCACCCTTGTTTCCTGACAGTGAGACTGTAAAGTGGTCCTCTAACTTTTTTCACTCTCAGCATAGCAGTGTCTGCCATGAGCAAGCAAGGCACATTAAACAGATGGGCGGGAAGGGGAGGGACAGGATTTTTTCTTCTTCCTTGGTGTAGGGCTTCTCCTTATTATCAGGGCCGGAGGAGGCAGGCTCAAATGTGCAGTTTTCCTCCAAGAAAAATAGCTGTTTTGTTGAATTCGTTTTGCAAGCTCAAGGTCTAATGTATTTTTATGTCAGTGTGTAAATGTAATAGGCAAGTTTTGTTTATTTTTGCAAATACTATATCTACTATATATTATGTATGGCCAAGGAAGAAAAAATTATCTTTTTTGTATTTCTTAATAAAAAAATTATTTTTAAGTTTTCTTTTACTTACCACAAAATTTAACATCTAAAATTTTACAGCACACCCAGGAAAAACTTGAGGCATGCCCTTTGAGAATGACTGACATAGCAGAAAGAGCAAGAGGTTACCTGACTGGCATGTTAGTGAAATCCTAATGTTCACAGAAAAAACAACCCAGCCCCAAGAAGAGGCTTACCTGCAGAAAGGAAGAACCTGCCAATCTGAACAAAAGGCGCGACAGCTGTGAAGGATTCCACGGCCATTGCACTGGAAGGAGAGGAAAGGGTCAGAGAGGCCATGACACACTGCAGGTTCTCCACTCCCCCCGTCACCATGCACACATCATCACAGAAGGCCTACTTTCCCCTAGAGATACAGCAATTACCAAGGAATGGAGGAACAATGTGTTTCTCATGCACTGGCCCCATCCACTGCATGCCCACTTGGTGCAGGATACTATACACTATAATCCAGACAGCAAAATCAACTGCCCAAACGTCCACCTTCCAATTCACTTCTGAACTCTGCTAGGAATTGGCTCGAGTGGAAGGCAAGACTGTAAAAATTTGTCAGCTTATTTTTTCTGCTGGAAGAGACCACCAGAATGTTAGACCTGAGAAGCAACTCTGGGGTCACCTAGTGGAACCTTCTTATTTAAAATCTTTGCTTCAGTATTCATTAATGAGATTGGTCAATAGCTCTCTTTCTCTTGCTTGGATATTAGAACCACATTTGTTTCAGAAAAGGAATTTGGTAAAGTGCTTTTGGTCTCTATTTTTGAAACTAATTTTTGTAGCATAAGGACTAATGGCTCTCCTATATGCTGGTTGGAATTCACTCCAACTCCTTCATTTTACAGATGAGAGAGAGACCTTGAAAGGGAAAGTGATTTGCACAAGGTCACACAGTAAATTAGGCAGAGTAAGCAGAACCCCAGGTTACTCGACTTCTGCTATAATAGTCTTTTTTTTTTTTAGGCATAGGCAATTAGGGTTAAGTCACACAGCTAGTAAGTGTCAAGTATTTGGTCTGAGGCCAGATTTGAACTCAGGTCCTCCTGACTCCAGGACCAGTGATCTATCCACTGCACCACCTAGCTGCCCCTATAATACTCTTTCCACTATACCAGAAGAGCATCAGAAAGAAAAAAGGATTCCTATATAAGGATTTTAAAGCTCTTTTAGCTAAATATTTATTTAGCATCTTCCTTAGGAGGAACTCAAAATATTTCCCTAATTTTTATTGACATAATTTTTCTAGGTTCTGTTTTTCTCCAAGATTTAAAGCAAGTTATCCTCACTTTCCAAGAAAAACAGGCAAGTAAGATGGCCCATTTCCAGAAAAGCCTGCCCATATTCAGGGCTGGAGTTTAAAATAAATAAAGCCCATGTCTTTCCTCTTGGTCCAGCACCCTACCCACTTGGCCTCAAGCCCTTGCCCTCTATTCACCTGGGATTTTTATGCCCAATCTCTCGGTCAAAGTTCCTGCTGTTCACAATTTCCGATTTCCACTCAGTATCTGAGAAAAGGGGAAAAAAAATGCTCAGAAGCAACACCGGGATGGCCTGCATTATGTTTTTCTAAGCACGGTCATTTTGGACTCATTATTTTACACAACTCTCTCAGTCAGGCAGATGCTACTGATCCCAACTTGGGACATGAGGAAGAACAAGTCTGTCAACTGACCTGCTTGGTGTCTTGGTGGGATCCCTTCCTTCAGAGCTGGAGCTCTGGGTAGGAACCTGCAGGGCTGGAGCCCAGGACCCCCCCCCATCTCAGGGCCGTGCATGCACCATTTTGTTTCCCTATCCAAATCCCTCACCCTTAGCTCACTAATCAAAAGAGATACACCCCCTTTCAGGCCTTCCCATGCCATTATTCTGGGAACTCTTACCGGCATCCTATCAAAAGGGATCTAAAGTGTGCAGAATGGACACATTTTCTCCACTTTAAAGTCATGGACACCATACAATCTCACAAGGAAAAGTGGGGAAATTATATTGTAAAATAATCTCATTTTCTTGCAGAAACAACAAAAACCTGCTTCTCCCATCACATTTATGTCATGCATGTCATCATGCTCTTTATTCCTATAAGTAAAGTCTTAAATAATGGAAGAACAATTTGTAAAGTCATTGGGTACTGTTTTATGATGTTATTGTTAAGTGAAATTGTATGTTTTGTTCTAAGCAGGTACATTCATTTTCATTCAAGTTTGGAGTCCTAGTTAGGCTGCAGTTACAGGACCAGACCAGGAGGCTTCTGTGGCAGTGGTGATGACTGTGCTGAGCCAGAAGTCAGCAGACGTGACCCACTAATCTGCCACAAGAACCTGGATCAATCCTTTCCTACCTCTGTAAAATGAGTTTCCTCCTCTAAAATGCGTAGATATGACCGGCTCATTTTTAAGATGCCTTCTAGCGTTCTCATTCCCACAAGGACCTTACACTGCAAATCTCTATTTCTCAGCAAGTGAGAGTGTTGAGATGCTCCCAAACTACTTCTTATATCCATTTGTTCACCTAAATGTTCACAAAAAGGGATCTAAAGTGTGGAGAACAGTGGTCTCTCTGAGCCTGCCTCCACCCTGAGGGTCATTCTCTCCTACAGCAGGAACAGAAAGGGGCAGCAGAGCTTCAATGCCATAACATGAAGACAGCCTGAGAGGCATGCCTTGGGCCATCACAGAACCACTGAGCTCCTTGGGGAAAGGAGGGATCAGGGCCCGTTTGGGCTCAACACAGTGCTGACACACTCAGTAAGACTTAACCACAACAGTCCTGGAGTGCACAAAGAAGCCCGAATCTGCAGCAGATGCTTCAGCCCCTGTCTCCAGAGACACAGACTGCAATCCTACTTACTATAGGAGTATTTCCTCTCTGTCTTCACTTGGCCATCTTCTGTGTACTCCCTGCAAAGGAAAGACATGTAGCAAAAATGGTCAGACCCGAGCCCAAACATCAGCACAAAAACATCATCACTACGCTTGCACCAGAACACAAGGAGGTGTCTCTTTACTATCCCATATTGGGCCAACACTCCAATGGGACCAATCCTATCTCTCCCTGGTTGGGTCAGCAGGGAATCTGTACCTTAGGTTCAGCCAGATCGGCAAAAGGACACAGAGTATCATTGCTAATAGAGCCCCAAGTAGCAAATCTGCTGTTTTAAACAATGTATCCATGAGAAGTAAAAAGAGTTTGAATTCATGGAGAAGCCACTTACAAACAGTAGCAGAAATGAGATAATTCACTGACAGAGGAAAACAGCAGATTTGCACCTGATGTGAGCACCGGCTCAGAGAACAAAGGTGCCAAGATACATGTTGGAGGTGAGAATTCCAAACAGAATCCACACCAACTCTCACCATCTCAGGGTCAGGGGTCAAGGTCAGGGAGATAGTCTGCTTCGAAAATACCCGTGGATCACCCTGGAGCAAGGGCCCCCTACAACTGTGCAGCGGCAGAGCTGGCAGGGAGCCTGGGGGAGCCTGGGGAGTCTCTTCACAGAGTAATGTTTGTTGCCTACATTCATAATTGAAAGAAATGCCAAATTTCAGTTTAAGATTAGTGGAATTTTCCCATCCATATTCATGGACCCCTTGAAATCTACCCACAGACTCCTTGGGGAACCCCTGATCTAAGGCAATCCACCCATTTTGCATACTGAGAAACTCTGGCACATAGAGAGAAGTGACTTGCCTGGGGTCCCCAGATCCTTTAGGGTAAATTCACTCTAAAACTAAGGTCACCTAACTCCCCCTACACATGCCATGCAACTGCATTAGCAAGCTATTACATTTTTATTTGTTCGTTTGTTCTGGTTTTTTGCTAGACAATGGGGTTAAGTGACTTGCCCAGGGTAGCACAGCTACAAAGTTGTTACATATCTGAGGCTGGATTTGAACTTAGGTCCTCCTGACTCTAGGACCAGTGGTCTATCCATTACACCAGCTGGCTGCCCCCAAGCTATCACATTGCAGAAACACACGTCTATGTTAGGTTCATCCCTTCCTTACTAGAAACAAGTGCCAACTCATCAAGCATTATTACATTTAGTTGAAATACTACACGCAAAACAATCGAATTTTCCAACTGAGTATCAGTGATGTTGGCTTGCTACTAATAAAAGTGCTAAGTGATCTTTTCTGTAACCTCAGCATTTAGGCACCTCACACATACTAAATGCTTAATAAAAATGTTAATTGTTAATCGACTTGAGAAAAGCGATTTATTTTTCAAAAGAAGGAAGCATTTTAAATTTTTAAAAAATGAAAAACTGGAATCTCAGGTCATCTTTAAATACAATTTTCTTTGCCTCAAAAGTCTCAACTCCTCCCATGGTGAAATGACACTGCATAATCTGGGGAGAAGGGGGAGTGAGGAACAAGAACTGGTATGAATATGATGAAAATTCTGTGTGTCCAGGCAGTGCTTCTTATTTTAATTATCATAACAATATGCAGTCCTCAGCATCCACCATCAGAGAGAAGGGCCCAAATGGGGCCACTGACTGGAGATCCTTCAGCAAGGAAGGGCCAAGATCTACCCAAAGCCAATGGGCAAATCCAGTCTCCAGGAGCATTCAGTTATTCTTGTCAGTTAATTTGACAAAGTGTAGGAATTATGGGGGGCAAGTTCTGAGGTAGAGAACAAGTTAGCTGGGACTGTGCAGGCCCAAAGGAACTGCTGGGTCACAAAGGATCCTAACAGAAGTAGAAGACATTTCTTTTCTTTAAGGGCTGAACAAGACAAAATAGTTACTCACAAAGCCTACTTTGGAGGACCATTTGGAAGGGAGACTGGGTCAGGCCAAAGAGCCGATGGCTCCAATGAGGCCAGCGCGCAGAAATCTCTGGGGAGCTGTAGGGTGACTCCAGAAGGAAAGAGGAGGGCAAGCGGCACCTTGAGCTCCTCACTGGGGCTCTGGAGGGGAAGGAAGATCAGACTAGGCCTGGGCCACAGCCAAGGAGTCAGGAGGGGGCATCACAAAGACAACGGCTACGCTTAGAAAACACGGAGCTTCAAATCCAGGCTCTGCCATCTCCTTCCTGGCTGACCCTGGGCAGAGGATTTTACCTCTCTGGGCCTCAGATGCACCTTTCCAGTAAGGAAGGTAGGCTAGACCAACTCCAAGGAGCCTTCCAACTCTAAATCCTATGATCCTATGAACCAGTAGGGTGCAGGAGAGAGCTCCTACCCACCCACCCCCAGCTTCTGACTTTATTTCCCCAGATTCCCCTGCACAAATGCCCCCTACCAGCCAATTGGCCAAATCATTCTCTAAATTTGATGTTCACCTCCTTCCCGGTGCTGTGACACATGCCATTCTCTGGATCTGTGATGCAGTCCCTCTGCCATCCTTGCCCCACAGATACCTGGTCTTCCTCCAACGTTCAGCTGAGAGGCCACCTCCTACATGAAACCCCTCCACTCTGAAGCACCTCTTCTTGTTCTGTGCTACCTCGTTTCCCCTGGTACCTTGCTTGTTTACGGTACAGCCTTCCTCTCACTCAAATAAAATGTAAACCCTTTGAGGGAAGGGCCTGCTTCAGTTTTGTCTTTATACCCCTAAAGCGGCCTGCATAAGTAGGCACTTAATGCTTGGGGGTGGGGGATAGATGACAGGACTGGAAAGACCTTTCCTAACCTATAAATTGCTGACCCTTGGATCTGTTCTTGTATCCCAACCACCACAATTATCTGTTCTGTTTCAGTGCCTTATATTAAATGCCCCTCTGATCAATTAAGAGATTAATGTGCTGTTCATGGACCATAGAAGAACAGAGGATAGAAGAAAGGTCAGGCAATCTCAGCACACCAAAGGAAGCAGGAGCATTTAAGAAAATGAAAGTAGTACCAACAAACTGAAATGTGGGCTAGAAAACCCACCCACCCCAGCAGGATGAGGGCCCCACTCACCTGGACTCTTCTGACTCCACCCACTGGTACATCTCCACTTGCCGCTTCAATTTCACTGCAGGGATGAAGACCCCATAGTTGGGATCAGACAAGAGCTTTAAAAGAATGAGAAGAATAAAGTTAGGCCAGACCTGAGATCCCAAGGAAAGCCAAATCAGAGGCATGAACTGGAGAGGCCACTAGATGAATGTAAACCAATACACTTGAAGGCCACTTACTCTCCCAAGGACACCCAGAAAATGTCTAACTTAGGGAGGGGAACTTGTTTTGAAGAAAATAATATTTGCTTTCAAATTTATGTATGTTTATTTCTTGAGTTTTGACCATAAACCTCAAAGTAAAGCCCTTGAAAAAGGCTCAGTCCATTTTCAGTGATCAGAAAAACTTTGACCCCTATACCCACCCCACCCCAGCCTCAGGACGCCTCCACTAATCAGATTTTCTCTTTGCAGTCTTGCACAACCAAAAACGTGGTGACATTATTACCCCATCCATAATGATGATATGGATAGTGGTCTTAGAGTGTTTTTCAACCCACCAAAGACAAAACAAAACCAGGTGCAAAAAGGCAGGTGCACTGTAGTAGAAAAGGCCCTGAACGTGCAGGCTCACTCCCTGTCTGCTCCTCTGGAGGGAAAGCAGACCCTGGCTGTGTGTCCTCAGTGGAGTCCTTTCCCCTCTCTGGGCCTCAAGTCTCTTATCTGTAAAGTGAGACAGTCAGAAGCTAGAAATCTGTGATCCTCTAATTGGCAGCACCAGATGACCTGGGTCTGAGCCCAGCTACAGAATTTACAAGCTGTGTGGGAAAAGGAAGTCCCTTCCCCTCAGTTCCTTCACCAGGAAAAGGCGGATAATCCTTGTGCCCACCTACTCCATAAGAGTGTATAAGAATTAAATCTGATAATGCAGAAAGTGCTTTGTAAGCTGTGAAGTGATAGATAAATGTAAGCTATTAGTATTCAGTCTAGTTTTACTGCTAAATGTATTTTATTCTATTTCTTTGAAAACTGGTAATCCAAGAAGAGAAAATGAGAAATGCCTCCTTCCTCAAGGTGGAAAGGACAGGACATGATATCTGTTGCTGGACACTGTCTCTACACGGGATTATTTTTTTCTTTGTCACATGGGAATGTTCAATTGGGGCGTGGGGGTGGGGAGAGGTGTGGGAAATAACTGTAATGTAAAGACACAGCATCAATAAAACTTCTTATTGAAAAGAAAAAAAAATGGCCAATCTGTATTTGGCCCATGTGGTCATTCGGAATCACAGAATGTTAGTGTTAGAAGAGACCTTAGAGATAGTCTCTTCCATAGGAAAGAAGGGATTCACCCAGAATCACACAGTGTTTCTAACTCTAGAACCACGGCTCTTTGCCCACACCACAATCCCTACCCTAAAGGAATTTATACTGTAAGAACCGTAGCTCACATTTTTACGGTGCTTTAACATTTACAAAGCATTTTAGGACGCACATACACAAATACAGACATGTGAAATAATAAAGGATGATATAATTATCACAATACAAGCTCTTAGGTCGAGCTGACAGGATACAGACGTTGAACTCTCAGAGAACAGAGAGGGCAGCAGATGCAGGGCCAGAGGTGGCAGCAGTGCAGGGAGAGGAGGCATCGGCTTTACCTTGGAGGTCCGGAGGGAGCCTATCAAGTGCACGAGTCTCCCCTCATTCTCTGGGGCCACGCTGTGGATGGTGGTAAGGGGAACCACAAGTGAGAGCCCCTCAGCAAGAGATGTTGCCGTCCTCAAGGCCCGGCCCTACAACAGCAGGAGAGAAGGAGATGAGAGAGCTCTAGTAGGCGATGCTCACCCGCTGCTCTCTACAGCGCACCAGAGTGCAGTTTGACAGTGCTGGGCATTTATTATAAACAACACAAGGAACAAGTCAGGTTAGTGACCTGAAGCTACTTCCCAAGAATAAGAGGTTCACCCGATGGAATATTCTCACCCATAAGAGAGTTCTTTGTCTAATTGTCTTAGAATCCCTAAAAGCCTGTAAACTCTACAAGGGCGAGGACCGTGGCTTCTCTGCAGTTTTTAAGTTTCTAGCCACTGCTAACAGAAGGCTCTGCATACATACAGTATCTGGCGTTCAATTACACACGCTGTCCAACAGAACAGCGTCTCCTATATATGAAGAACTAAATCACAATGAACGCACCATACATGCGTTCATTCAACAAACCTTTATTAAATACGTTGCCCTCCACAGGGGAAGCACTTAATGCCTTTCAACTGGAGAAACATTTATCCTCAACAAGGTCAACAAGCATTTATTAAGAGCCTATCACATCCTAATAATGGGGGAGGAAGGAGAGAGGAGGAAGAAATGAAAAGCCAAATGAGGTCTGGTCTGTCCAAAGGGAGAGCGCCCTCCCCCATAGGGGCTGCTAAGACACTCAAGCACATACCCATTGCTCCCCTGGCACTCCGTCCAGCTTCCCTGCTACTGGGACCTGATCTGTGTTGCCTGTGCCTGAAAAGGCCATCCTCCATTTTAGATCCTGCCTTCTCCTTAGCCTTCCCAAATCCCTGCACCTATTACCCTTCTGTGAAGGCTGAATACCAATCTTACGTGTTATTTTGGGTTATCCCCATTTGTACATGTCACACAAACATCATCACCATCCACCAGAACTGTCTAAACTCTCTACTTTGTCAACACCTGGCACAGGGCTATGCACCCAGTAGGTTCATGTTACCAAATGAGGAGCTATAATGCTACGAAAATGCCCAGGGCTTTAAAGGACGAGGGGAGGGCACTTCTAACCAGTTCGGATGATTCTCTCTCTCTTCTGCCCTCTTCCAGCTGTGCCTTTCCCAGTCCTGGGAGGGACAAAGGAATTGCGCTGTTTTCACCCACTCAGAGGTAGAAGAGAATCAAAGCCTTTCACACAGCCTGGACTCCATCTCCCTCCTCTGGCCTCCCACAAATGTCTGAGCACAGGCAACTATTTAAGCTTCATGGAGAATATAGGGCTAGCCTATTGGCTACACCTTGTTTCTAGAATGGCTACCTCTTTCCAAGGATACAAGAATAAACTGCTTTTTTCTCTCTTGCAGTGACCAGAAAGAGCCTGAAGGGACAGGACAATGGGGAAGATGGCACTCTAACTGGACAACAGGAACTGGCTGCCTCACAAGAGCTTGGCCATAGCAGCATTTCGACACACTTGCCACACCCCAGGAAGAAGTTGTTCCCTCAGAGTGCTGCACACTCCCAAGATACACATGTAATAATGGATCCAAGGTGTCTCTATTAACTTCCATGAGATTCTCCCTTTCTTCCTCCTACCCCAAAGTTCTCCCAATAGAGTGGTGGGAAAAGAAGCAATTCATTCAATGGATTTTTAAATATGTTTCTCCAGTCTGCAATGAAATATCAATGATGCCTCTAACATCCTTTTCTTTATCAATGCCTTTGGCATCAGTACATTTTTCCCCAATTTTCTAGAATGATGGTAACTTCTCTCCTCCCGTGGTTCACTACCCTGAGTTTTATACAAGTCCCAGAGGCACGTATGGACCCTAGAAAGGGGGCTTAAGATAGACATAGTTAAAAAGACAAGAGAGAGGAGAGAAGGAATCATTCAAGGGCTAAAGTGGTAAAGAATGTTAATCATCACTTCTAGTCATCTTTCTACTTCACTGTCCCTCTCTTCAGCATCCCACCTGCCAACTCAAGAAATTGAGGAGTAATCTAACTTCCACGGCCGTCTTCCCAGCTCTCGGTGTTACATAAGCTGAGAATGAAGCTATCAGGCCTTTGAGAAAGGGGATTTCTAGGTAAGTGTCCAGCTCCCATTATGCTCAAGGAGAGACTCTTGTGGGAAAAAGGCAAGGTTGATGCTCTGGATGCTCACCTCATTAGTAAAGATCAGATAGAAGGAAAGTAAAAATGTCATCAATCCAACAAACATGCCTCCTGAGGTTTCACTGAGACGCTCCAAGAAGCCTGGCTGCTGCTCAGCTGTAATTTTGACATGTTCTTTTCTGTTACTTGTATCAGAGTACTAGAAAAGATACAAAATATATACAGATGGTATGCATATATCATAGTACTAATCAACCTGTGATTAATTTAAAATCGTTAGCAATCATTAGCATAGCTATAAGAATGGAAGCTATTCAATTTTTTTCCCACTATAACACCTAAGCTTATATTTCCCATGGCTGTTCGTTGTAAGATCAATAAAAACTGAAAAGTTTATAAAGGATCCAGAATACATTATCTAACAAACATTTACTGCACATAATCATAATGGCAATAATAATAAACAGCTTATATACTTTGTAATGCACTCTCCACACATATACATACACACATATACATACATCCCCATTTTACAGATGAGCAAACCGAGGGTAAAAGTGGTGAAGCAATCAGCCAAACGGCTAGAAAGTGTCAGAGCCAGGATTCAACTCCAGACCTTCCTACCATAAAAGAACTTTTGTGCATTTCATGGGTTGAGTTGTCCTAGATACTAGGTGATAAAGTGCTAACTGCAAGGATGCTCCCTCTAGAGATCATGGACAGTGCTTGCATCCCAAGACAGTCCTGAAATAATCTCAACGTGCAGAGTACGGTTGAGTTCACTGAGAGACCAAGTAGAACACCTCTAGCCATGAAGGTACACATATCCTTTTGTCTGAGCCTTTATTTCTTCAGCCATAAAATAGGGACAATGATATTTGCATTACCTACTTCATATAGCTTCTATAGGAGTCAAGGGGTAAAATGAACATGAAAGAGTTCTCTCTGAGGCTGGAACATGCTGTGAAAGCATAGAACAACCAGTCCAGTAGTGAGGGCCATGAGGGTAGGATATACTGAAGAAAGCCTCTCATCACCTCATCAAGTGAAAGAAATTCCCTTAGTCTTAGGACAACAGGAGAAAGCACCCCAGGACTTTGATCTCCTTACAATGCCTTGAGGGAAAGCATTCCCATTGTGATTCCACTATTAGCTTTTTAGCTATTCCCCAGGACCTAGCTGAAGCTACAGATGATAGATTTAGAGCTAGAAGGGACCTCAGCCATCACTTACTCTAACCTCATTTGTAAAATGAGGAAACTGAGTCACAAAGAGGTGAAGAAATGAGTTCAAAGTCATAGAGATACTTGATAAGAGAGCTAGGATTTGAACCCAGGACCTGACTCTAAATCCAGCACTTTTTTCCATCACCCTTGGCATTACATTTCGTATCATATTCTGTAACTACCACTACAGGAATTTTATCATCCCTACCATAATGAGGGCCATGGTGGTGCCTTGCTCAATCTGAGCAATCCATCTCTCTGCGTCTGTTTCTACAGCTATACAATAACTGACACTGATGCAGCATTTATATTTTTCATATATTATTTCAACGGAGCCGCACCAAGACCCCATATTTCAGGTGAGCAAACTGAGTCTTAGAAAAGTTACGTGACTTGCTCATAAATACACAGTTAGTATCAGAGGTGAGATCTGGACTCAGATCTTCCTGATGCCAAGTCCAGGACTCCTGCTAGCCCTTATGTCACGCATGCTGCCTCACAATACTTGCACTACCCACCTCACAAGATACTTGTGAGGAAGGTGATCTGTAAGCTATAAAGCCCTCCATGAATGTGACTGATTACTAACACTCTGGCTTCCTCAGCATGTAAGGCTCAGGGTTTTGCATCTAGTAAGCAACAGGTCAATGCAGATAGCACTAAACTTAACCAAAACCCACATTACAAGCAGTAGCTGCAGGCTGTGAAAAAAACCCTAAAACTGCAGTAAGACAACATGGCTTCAGTCTTCACCTGCAAACTCTTATTTCTTCAATTTTATAAATCATTTTTTTCTAAAAACAGTCCAATGAGGTAGTCTGTGATTTTTTTGTTTTTGTATCACAGAATCACTGATAGAATTGTAGATGTAGAGATGGGAAGCCAAAAAGTCTACTCCCTCTCCCCATCATTTTTCAGGTAGGGAAACCGAGGCATAAAGCTGTTAAGTGACTTGCCTAGGATCTTCTTGCCAGTAAGGATGGAAGGAAGGAAAGAATATGCATTTATACAATGCCTACATGTGCCAGGCACTGTGCTAAACATTTTACAAAAATTACCTTATTTGATTCTCTCAACATCTCTTGTGAGGTAGGTGCTATTATTATCCCCATTTTTTAGATGGGGAACTGAGGCAGAAAGATATTAAGTGATTTGCCCAGTGACTACTAAGCATCTGGGGCTGGTTTTGAACTCAAGTCTTCCTGACTCCAGGTGCAGGGCTTTATTCATTATACCACCTAGCTGCAGTAAGGGCCAGAAATAGAATTTGAACCCAAGTCTTCCTGACTCAAAGTCAAATGTTCTATCCACCGCAGGTAACACAATGCCTTGCACACAGCAGGCACTTAATATTTACTGAGTTATTCCCATTTTGAGATGGGGAAACAGAAACTTAGAATTATTAACTGATTTATCCATGGTTACAAAGTTAGTCTGATTATCTGAGCTGGAATTCTAGCCTGATTTCCTAACTGATAAGTTTCCAACAAACAAGACCTTAGCTTTTCAAAAAATGACTAACCCTGATTCCAGAGGACCCATGATGAAGCATGCTACCCATCTCCTGACAGAGAGGTGATGGACTTAGGGGGCACATGGAGATAACTTTCTGGACATGGCCAACTATTTGTTACAAGACGGGAGAGGAAGGAGAAAAACAGACATATTCGTTGAAAAAAATTTAATTTAAAAAATAAAATAAAATTATTTCTAAAATCTCTTCCAGATTTAAAATCCTCTGAAGCCACAGTGAGTCATTATAGCAGTGAGCTACTCCCTCCCACCTTTACAAGAAAAAGTGGCACAGGAGGGAGGGGCCCACCCCACCCAGTCCCAGCACGAAAGTTGAGATCGGTGTCCAACTTGTAGTTCAAGTAGCCCAAAGGGAACCCACGACAGCCCAGCCACCCAAGAGACAAAGAGGAGGGGGTATGCTGGCAGGCAACGCAGGCATACAGGCAGCAAGATGCGGCTCCGAGGGCCCCCCCGAGTTTCAGTCGCCGAGACCCTGGGTCAGCTTCGGGGAGCCAAGCGGGGAGGGATCCCGGCTGGGTGGGGCGGCACGCACACACACACTTACATTCCGGGACATGATCAGCCTCGAACTGCTGCCTCAATCTCCAGAGGGGCCGGAGGGCGACAGGCAGATCTGCAATTGGCCGGAGAAGCAGCGGGAGCCCCACGAGCCGGGAAAACTCAGCCCTTTCTCTTGAGCCTCGAAAGCACAAAGTCTGGCGAACAACGCTGGGCTTGCTGCTACAAAGTTACCATCCACGACATCGAATGGCCCTACTGCGCCTGCGCGCCGCAAGGTTTCCTGGGAAACGTAGTCTTCTATGTTGGGGGGCGGATGCTTGCGGGTGCCTCCGCCCGGCCCTTCCGCCTGGCCCGGCCTACGTCCTTCTGGGACATGTAGTTTCCTGGGGCTAGAGGAGCTCGGGAAGGTAGGCCGCCGGGCTCCTGGCTGGCCGGCGGGACTCAGGGAGCGGCCCGGCTGGTGTGCCGCGGGGCAGGTCCTGGGAAGGGGGGCGGAGCCCGAAGAGAGATCTCGGCGCCTAGTGGCCACCGCGAGGCCGGAGCGACGAGCTTGGGGAGCGGGTCGGAGCCGGAGCTACGGGAGCCGCCGGGCCTCAGCCATGTCCTACTGCCGGCAGGAAGGTGCGAGCGGCCAGGCCGAGAGGAGGCGGGGAGGCGGGGAGGGCGCGGGCGCGAGGCCAGGCCGAGGGGCTGCTATGGAGACGGGGCAGACTAGGGCTTGCAGGGGACACGCGGCCCCCTCGGCGGCGGGCGCAGGCGCGGGCTGGCGGGCGCGCAGCCGATCGAATGTTGGGGCCCCGGCTGTTGGAGCGCGGCACGCGTGGTGCAGCCCGGGGCTGCTGCTGGTGGCGGCCGGCTCCCCCGCTGCGCGTTTCTCCGCTCGGACCGCGGCCAAGGACTGCGCCCGATGACCCCCGGCCCAGCGCGGGGAGCGCGGCCGCACGTGCAGGGCCCTTCCCCACCTCCTCTGTGCCCCCTTTACCGATGAATGATCTGGTCCGGGGGCTTCCTTCCCTGCGCACGTGCGCAGGGGCTCCCCCACGGGGGTCAGGAAGTTAACCCAGGGCCTTCTGGAAGCTGGGGCTTTTTCCCCGTCCCCTGCAACCTTGAGGCAGCCCAGGGACTTCCTTGCAGGAGGCAGCCGGGCTTTTCAGCCCAGATTCTGCCGTTAACTTCCCAGGTGAACTTGCACTAGTCATTTTCCCCTCCAGATTCATTTTCCCCCTCTGTAAAATGAGATTGGACCTCATGCTTCCTAAAGACCCTCAGGTTAGCCTAGGGAAACCTGGAAAAGTGTAGGGTCCAATGTCCTAGTGGCCCTAAGAAATGACCTTCACAAACGGAGGAACACTTGGAAGAGTTCCCAAGGTCAACATGGAGACCATCATTATGTAATTACAAGACAGAGGACAGTACTTAAGTCCGTAGTATTCATTCATCTGGGCACCTTACTGGGGCTGGCCTTACATGTTTTAGTATCACCTTCTGGCCCTGGGCCATACAGCGGCCCCTGGTTTGTGGGCTTTTTATTCGGTCCCTGTGGGTCTCTGACTCATACCAAACCTGTTAGGTCTTCCCAGTTTCTCCTTGCAGGTGAAGGAAGAGTCCTAGGAAATCTAGAGTACTTGTGACTTTTTTGTCTAATCAATCCTGATCCCTGGGGGTGTTGTGGGTCACGGGCAAGGATAGGTTCCTTCAGGCTCTTCCTGCTATGCCTTTGCCAAAATCTACTCTGGTTATTCTGGGTTTCTTGAACTTTGTGAGCCACCTTTACCAATACTGTAGCAGATTGTTAAACTTTTGAGTTCATTTTCTTAGTTTCATCATTAATTCATTTAGCAAATGCCTGTTGAATGAATGAGCAGACATCCAGCACCCATTCAGATGCTTCCTGAATAAATGAGCAGGCATCGAGCCCCCCAACAGATGCATTTTGTTGTTAAATGATGCTTGTTGAATGAAAGAACTGTGCCCAACAGAGGCATTCATGTGCTTATTGAATGAATGAATGCCTACCATCTCAAAAAACCTGTGCTGAGTACTGAGCATTTGGGGTCGAGAGAAAGGGGTGCAATGAGAAATAGTAGAGTAATACATCAGTAACTGCAGTCTCATTCTCAAGTTGTGACAGTCCCTCCAAAAGCTGAAATGAGAAAGGTTCCAACAAGATGGTGGGAGCTCAGTGGAGGGCAAGATAATAGCAGGTATGGGTTGGACTAGATAAAGGGTGGCCTCAAGGCCACGAGTGATCCTCTAGTACAGCCCTTTGATTGAATCCAGACTTCACAGAACAAATCCCCTTAATAAAAGGTTTTGTTCTGTAAAACTCAAAAAGTCACACCCAAGGACCTAGAAAGCCACTTGTGGCCTGGTGGCCAAAGGTTCCCCACCCCTGGACTAGATGGCTACTTGAGGTCATTCCCAGTGCTGAGATTCTGTGATCACATTCGGGGTGCCAACACTGCACTCTGCGTGAATCATCTTCATTTAGTCTTGGCCCGGCCTTTGGGGACTCTTAATTTTCTTGAACATCATCTCATACCTGCATTTTGCATTCTTTTCTTTAGCATATGACATTGTGTTAAGCTTACAAATTCAAAAACAAAATGGTAAAATGGAAATCAGGAAAAGTTTCATGGGAAACATAGCACCTGAATTGGTCTTGAAAAAGGAGAACTTGAAGGGGCAGGGGAGGGGGATGAGAAGAGAGTGGGGAATTCAGGGAGAAAGGAAGACAGAGGGACATCTACCAGTCTAGTGTGGCTGGAACCCAAAGTACACAAAGAAGAAAAATAGGAAAAATAGTTCAAAGCGGATTGTGGATGGCCTTGGAAGGCCAGGCAGAGAGGCTTTCCTTCTATGGTGTTGAGATGGGGGTAGGATGGGTGACTGGCCACCCCTGTGTCTTTTGCCATGTGGTTCTGCTGCAATCATAGCCCACATTTGTGTGGCTCTTGGGGGTTTGCAAAATGCTTTTGTTATTTCAAGTGTAGACAGCCTGCTGAGGGGCATTCTACGCCTGCCCACACCCCCAACCCCCGAATCCCTCCACAGTCATACTTGCCCTATGCAAGTCGTATAACCTGGCCAAAATCAAAAGCTCTAGAACGGTGGCAGATTCTCATTAGCAGAGTTTTCTCCACCCAGAGCTTCTGTACTTGTGAAATCTCCAGTTCAGACCCGAAAGAGCACCCCATCCTTTCCACTTGTGTGTCTGGTGTGATCTTTCCATGCCTGGCAGAAACTGCCTTCTTCCATTCCCTTGAAGCCTGACCTGCCTGAATTCTCCCTAGCATCTTTCCACTTTTTAAACCCAACCTTTCTTGCCCAGACTCTAACTGGAGAACATTCACAGTCCCTCAGTTGTAGCCCCTCCTTTTTCTCTGAATCACATCCCTTTGGTCACCAGGTACCTCTGGATGGTGTCTGTCACTAGGCTGTTGAGGGAGGGACTGGACTTCAGACTCCTGGAGAGCGGCACACTTCTGGCCTCCGTCTCGCAATGCTTCTACCAGTAGGTGGTAACACTCCACCCACATTGACTTGGTTCTTTCCAGTTACAAGCTGCTTTACCAACATTTTCTCACTGTGATTGCTGGTGGTAGGAAGGAACCTACTCAGAGCCACTGAAGAGAAGAGATAGACAGCCATGACTGTAAAACACAATGTAACATACCTGCAGACAGGGTGAAAAGGCTGTATGAAAAAGTAATGTTCAGCTGGCTGAAAAGGGGAGAGAGGGGGCTTCTGAGCCTGCTCAGTGAGCAGCATTGGGGACAGCTCTGGGACTGCCTCCTCTTTAAACCTTTCACGTATTAAGCCTAGAAGTCCTGATCTCTATCTGGCCACTGGGCCCAGATGGCTCCAGGAGAGAAAGTGAGGCTGGTGACCTTGCACAGCCCTCCCTCACTGTAATCCAATTCACTTGTAAGGCATGGCATCATCTTTCCGATGCCATGGCCTTTTTGAGAATGAAGGACAAACCACAACCTATTGAGCCTGTCTACTTTTGCTTATCATTAGCCAGACTAGTTTTTATCGTTGGTCAGTCATGTCCAACTCTTCGTGACCCCATTTGGGGTTTTCTTGGCAAAGATGCTGGAGCAGTTTGCCATTTCCTCCTCCATCTCATTTTACAGGTGAGGAAACTAAGGCACACAGGGTTAAGTGACTCGCCTGGGATCACTAGTAAGTGTTTGAGGCCAGATTTGAACTCAGCAAAATAAGTCTTCCTGACTCCAGGCCTGGCTCTATATTCACTGTACCACCTAGCTGCCCCTAAACTAATTTCTACTGATTTCTACTAGCTTCTTGAAGAGTCAGGCTCCTTGAGATGGGTGTAAAAGGTCTCATTGCTTTATGTTTGGGCAGGAGGCAGGCAGAGCTTTGAACCTATCCACAAAAGCAAATCTCTTCTGTAAGATTCAGAGTCCATAAGATTGAGTGCACTGAACCTCGGAATACTCCCTTGCTGTCCTTCCTGTGCTGGGGGTCCCTGGGCCTGCCCTTCAGTCCTGGTAAGAAGAAGGATTCCTCCCCTGGTTTGTGAAGATCTTGTACAGCCAGCCTTGCTTCAGTCATTCTCCAGCACTGGCTGCTGAGGCAGGCCCTGGCAAGACCCTTACTTCACAAAGAATGAAACAAACCCAGAGAGGGACAGTGATTTATCCAAGTTCACTGACACGCTGTGGTTGAGCCCACCAGAGCCGGCCTCTGGCTCCTGATCAGATCTTTTTCTGACACCTACCAGATGCCTTTGGGCACATACCCCAACCTCTTATGAATGATTTCTAATAAGACAAGTGTTTGGGGATCTCTAGCTGTATTCACCTATCTAAAGCCCTGTCCTGTAGAAGAGAGGGGCTGACCTTGTGAAGATGGCTTCAGGCATGCCTGAACTCGCTAGGGGGAAGATTGAGGCATTAGAGCTGTCTGGTAAAGGATCTGGGGGGTCCTGTTCAATGGTGCCCTCCCACTGGAGTCTTTCAAGCAGAGAGCGTATAGCCCCTGGTCAGGCAGGGATCTGGGGCAAACGACTTAGACCCTGGGTACAGCGTTGGTCTCCTTTGAGCTCCTCTTAAGAGCCTCAATGTTAACCCTAGGCTTTGGACAGCAAAATAGGAAGACTCTAATTCTCAGCCCAAGTTAGTCTTTCCTTCTCTCTGAATTCCAGTTTCTGAATCTTCAAAATGAGGGAGTGTAAGGGTGTGGGGAAAAGGAAGAGAAGCCTCCGTGATCTCTCAGG